ATCTAACAAACATCCCATCCATCTGGATTTTCAAGAGAGAGGTCAGTCCTCTCACCTAGTAAGTGTGTGGTTGGGTCGTCCAAGGCTGGTGAGCAGAACCATAAAGTTTCCATGGACTAAAGCTGACACTTCACCACTCAGCTATTCCTTGGCTATATTCTATGTCTTTGTGGTCCAGTCACATGTACATGCCTTGCTACAAGTCCAGCTAGGAAATCTAGGCTTTTTTTTTTTTTTTTAATTTGAATCCATTGCTTCCCCAAATAAAATTCTAGGAAGGGATCTTAAGAGTAGGCAACTAGCAACCCTCCGTACTTAGCAAATTAGAATTCCCAGAAATGGGGCCTGGAAATTTGCAATTTACCAAGCCTCATGGGTAATCTGATCTGTACTAAGGTTTGGACCGTTGTTCTGATCATTGGCTTTGCTGAGCCCTTCCAAAAGACCCACCCTGTCGCTGAGCCCCGAGAGTTCTCCAACTTAACAGGACAAAGCCGCCCCTCCCCAGGCCCTCTCACACCCACTCCCATGACCCTAAGTTCCTTCCTGTCTCACCTCACCCCCACCTTATCGGTGTGGCTATTTCAAAAGCCCCCATAAGGGTAGAAGGTGGAGACAAGGATTTACAGGACAGAGCTGGTATATTTCTTGCTTTTGTTGAATAAATTAGTTCAGAGAGGAAAAGGCCCATATCTTAAACTTTTAAAACTATTATGACTTCGGACACAAATCCAAAAGATATTTTGATTTTACTCCCTACTTTAAATTGATTGAAGTCAGATGTTCTTTTTACTGTCACCACAGAAGCTGTAAATCATTGGGTAAGGCAGGCCATCCACAGCAACTACCACCACCAAAGCCCAGTCATCTCATACAGCAAAAGGAAAGCCCCGGAATCCAAATTGGCACTATCTGGGAATTGGTAGCTTTGAGGATTACTTTGTGATAAAGCTGCTCCATCTCAAAAGCAGTTTCTTTTCCTTTTAGTTTAGATATTGTCCTATTTTTTCTGAATTCAGTTTTGCTATTTGTCGTGACAAACAGCTTTAATCTCAATTTCAAAAGGTAATGGTCTGAGCAAAAATGGTGCTTTGTGTATCACTTAACTAGCAGCACCTTTGCCTGTCTTCCTTATCGTGCTTATTTTTCCGAGTGAAAATATATTTCCAAATGGAAGCATAGACTCTCAGAGGTTGAAACTTTTGATCATTGGCCCTCTCATATAATTATGGTTAACATTTATTAAAAGCTGTTTTTCTAGTTCCTGTCATTCAATTTACTTTTATTCTCATTTATGCTTACACTGATCTGGAAAAATGGGAAGTATTCAGAGTTTACAGGTGGGTAGACAGACATAGGAAGATTAGGGGATTTTCCGAGGGTCTACACACCTATGGCTGGCAGAGGTAGGGCATGGATCCAGGTATTTCTGACATCAAAGGTTTCATTGTTATATTGTCGCCCTTTCATTTTATGTATGAAAAAAAGAAAAACCAGAGAAACAAATGGAACTGTGTAATATCATGTGACACCTTTTACCTTCTTTGTGGTATAGTATTAAACTATGAAATTCAGTGCATATCAAATCTAAGCTCAGATGGTGCTAATTCAATGAATTATCTTTTAAACTTCTTTTACTGAGCATTAAACAGCCACTTGTTTTATGGAAAATCGTACAAACTATTGTGGGGGATAGGGAACTGTACAAGTAGGAGTACAGTCTCTTCTTATCTACATTGCTGTATTGGTTGATGTTATTGTAGTTCTTTAAGAAAGTTTTACTTTTCTCAGTGCATGTAATTCTAGCATATTTAATATCAAAGTGTGATGTGGGGCAAGTTTATAGTAACTTGATAAAGTAGTAATGCGATGAGTCATAAGCTTGATGCCCAAGACACATTATGATATCACATTATTACCTATATCAAACTATAAAAGTATTTAATGAACATATAATTATCCTGTTAGCACCAATGACTGGATTTAAATTTTTGACCGAGTCTTCATCCGTCAGCCACCAACCACACCCGCTTGTTAGAAGAGCTTCATCTCTGAAATGTACAATGAGATTTAAGGATTTATTGTTAATTTTAATTTTTTTAAACTTATAAATCATGTTTATTCTCTTACAGTTGTCTCAATTTTTCCCTCTTTACCCCCCTCCACCCATCCCACCCCACCACCTGCTCCCACACTCAATTCCCACTCCGTTGTCCATGTCCATGGGTCATTCATACATGTTCTTTGTCTAGTCCCTTCCCCTTCTTTCCACCATTGGAGATTTAAGGATTTTTGGAAAGGATTTTACAAGCACTAACTAGAAACAATACATTTTCAGCCCATCACCTTGAGCAAGAGTATGTTGCTCAGTGGTTCTCAACATGCATGGGGGGCGAGGGGAGGTAAGCATTCACACTTGAAAAATTAAGCACCAATTTTCCTATTGCTTTGATTTGTTTGTCATTATGAAATTTATATATTGAGTTTCAAATAATATTAAGAAACATTTAGGTAGTTTATCCAGTGGGAGCATGAATATAAAATATTGAGACAAATGAGTAATTAAAATCGTAAGAGAAAGCATCTCTGGCCTGTGTTTCTAGTAACAGTTCTGAATGCGGTACTTCCCATTACAAATATAAGGGAAAATACTATCCTGTTGAAAATTTACATTAGATATAAAAAGGTAAGGCAAAGTGTTTTGTGGTTTTCTTTTCCTTATTGGATTATATATTCTTGGAAATACATTACTTACGTTGTCTCAACTCCTTTTCAAAGTTATTAGTATGAGATACTCCTGAATATGAATTAGATAAGCATTTTAATCCTTTTGCCACCGTGTGTTCCTTGGCGTTCAGCCATCTGGGTATGTAAGTTCTGCACCTTTAAATATCCTTGAACCTGAGCTACTAGCACTGTGCTCTTTTCCTCCTTTCTCAATGCCCAGATGTGTAATTATAATGAAGGTTTCCTTATCCATAAAAGGAAGTAACTCATCTTTTTACAGGATAAAACACTCTAGAGTCATTGGGAATATGCTGGCAGTGTGTCCCCAGCAACATGGATGGAAAGGGCTGTCCTCAGTTTGCGACCACTTAGGCTCTCAGCAGCGGGACACCCCCCTCCGCAGCCCTGGTAAAGCGCTAGGGGTCAGAGAGCAGGAGGTTACCTTCTGCAGCAGGGCTGTGCTGTCGCCAAGGAAAGACTCTCCTTGGCTAATGGAACTGCCTTGGATCTAATTGGAAACACGGGGACATACGGAGCAGTGTATATACCCCAGGAAATACTTGGTTTACAGATCAGACAGCATATTAGATAACAAGTCAGCCTAGGAAATTTGAGTAACTTTCTCTTCCTGGGATTTTATTTTCTCATCTATGAAATTAGAGGTGTTGGAATAAATGATATGGCTTGTCATCTTCCAGTTAAAATAATGTCCTTTGAAGTGTTTTGTCAAGAAAACGTGAAAGTGTCCTCCCTCCTCAGCTGTGGTCAAAGAAGGTGGTGTTGCTTAGAGTTCTCCCACCCTCTGAACTACTTCCGCAGACCTATTAAGAGGAAGATCTCCCGGGTTCTGCTGAGTTTCCATATTGCTGTAAGCTTTAATTCTTAATGTAGCACGCTACACAAAACAAAACTTATGCAATTGTTTTTGTAGTTAATAACTGCAGACTTCCCTACCCCATCCTTTCCTGTCATGGGGTATAACCCAGGAGCCTTCAGCATGGCAGGAATTTTCTGCATTTTATTCATGTATTTGTGGAACGTATCATCCCAGAATAATAAAGACTTGTTTGGACCAAAACTGATGGTTTTATTTTTCCATTATTCCATTAAGCAGTACGTAAAACTGTATGATGGCATAGTAGAATTTACAGGAGAAAATTATTAATTTGGGGGTATCTTTGCATTTGTTACTATCAATAAAATGTAGATAAAGTGTGTTTTTCATCATGTGTTTTAATAGGAAAGCATCCTGTTATAGTACTTTTAATCCTTGGTCAGAGTTATTAATCTTAGATTAACATTGATTGCCATTCATTTTTCCTTAGACCTTTACTCTGTAACCTGACCTATTGAAAGTATAAACTTTAAAAGTCAAGGCAACTGTAAGGCAGTTCACAATGGCTGGCATCTTATTTCCATAGGTGGGTGGGAGTTAGAAGACTTGCATTGGAATCCCTTCTTCTTTAGTCAGTACTACTGGAATCCTGGTCAAACAGCTCTTTGCATTTTTTTCATCTGTCAGATGAGGATAAGGATCCTTCCCATGTTGAAGAATAGTATGATGTCAGGTAGTAAGAGGATGGTTTGCAAAATCTTATATGATATGTGAAGCATTAGATTTTTCCCAAAGTTTTTCACCTATTAAATTATTTTAAAAATACATTATTTGAAGAACTCCATAATTTATCTTAATAACACAACCATTGTGTCACTTTTTGTTCTGAAATAGCAGGTTTGCGTGTGTACGCCTTCTTAGAGGAGATCAATCTTTCATATCGAGTCAAAATCAGGTGGAGATGTGAAGGAAAGACGAGTTAAGAACATGAGAGACTTTATCTCATGTCCAGTCCCAATCTTTTTAGCTAACATTTAACCCACTACACTTATCTTTTTCCTGCAAGCTTCGTTTTCTTCTATTCTTGTCCCTTCCTGCTCTACCCCCCAGCTTTCTTTTTTCCTTTAGTACTTCTCTTGTCTTAGACCAAGGGAAGAGAAAAATGATGGACTCTGTAGCTTTAAGTACTGTGATCTTAATGATTGTGGAGAATGTGTTGTACACTCGCAAAGCAAAAACTAGTTACTTGTATACTCAGACCACGTGATCAGCCACTTCTGCTTTGTGAGTCAGTTCTGTGTGTATGTCCTTAATCTCTCCAATTTATGTTGCTATGGATTGGAAGATACCTGTTTATTCTTAGGGTCAAAGGCATTATATTGAATAGAGACTTTGTCTAAATTGGGAGTGCTTAACCTCTTATCATATTTCTTCCTAGGGCAGGAACGGTTTGGCAACATGACCCGAGTCTACTATAAAGAAGCTGTTGGTGCTTTCGTAGTCTTTGATATATCAAGAGGTTCCACGTTTGAGGCCGTCTTAAAATGGAAAAATGATCTTGATAGTAAAGTCCATCTTCCAAGTGGTGGCCCTATTCCTGCTGTTCTCTTAGCTAATAAATGTGACCAGAGAAAGGATGGTAGCCAGAATCCTTCTCAGATGGACCAGTTCTGCAAAGAACATGGCTTCAGTGGATGGTTTGAAACCTCTGCAAAGGTGAGCTCTGCTTTGCCTTTCTATCTGCTCTGCAGTTAGCTCATATATCTGAGCTGTAACTGTAAAATATTTAGATGAGGGAGTGGGTGTTAGAAGCCCAGGAGAAAGTGCAGCACAGCATAGGTATGTTTCAGCTCCTCTCAGTCCACAGCAGGGATGCTTTCACAATTGGTCAGTGGGGAGGTGATTAGAAGGACAGATTTCACGTTAAAATAAAAATGAACTATTATTTAGGGCAAATAACAAATCCTATTTTCTGTGTGTTTGAGTCCTTAAATGAACTCAAGCACCTACAGTTTATGGGGTGAAGCACAAGCATTTTTTACTTTTAAAGAAGGCTTAAAAACATAAGGCCATGTCCCTAGTAAAGATGTGTCAGGCTAACTAAGGCATTGAAGAGAAGATGTATTTGGGTGATCCTTGAAGAATATTCTACTAACTGTGCATGAAAGAATTTGAGCAAGAGGAAAATATCACTATTTGTGACATAATTCTTCATGAAGAGTGGAGTGAGAATTTTTCTTTGACCCGTTATGGGAAGCTGGATAAAATGTTCTTTTGAAGAAAAAAAGCACATATGTTGGGTGCTGAGAATCTTAACCGCCTCGATATGTAAGAAAGTGAGTGTGAAAATCACAGGCACCAAATATTGGAGGGTGTTGGGTGCTTGGTTATGCTTGTTGGCAGTTTCATATCAGAGGTCCAATAACAATCAGGCTTATGTAAGAATGATGAAATGTTTGAGAAATTCTGTGTTGACAGACAAACTCAAAACCATAAATTTGGTGTAATCCTGACAGAGTCCCCGGTTTTAGTATGCTCTCTGTGGCTTTCTTTTTATATATATTTTCTTAAAAAGCATTGTCCCTTTTCATCACCTAGGTACTACCAGGTTGTTTTTAGCTTTTAGAAACCCACCTTAAAAGTGGAAGATTATTCAGTGCCACTGATGATCAGAATAATAAAAGCAAAGGCATGAGAGAGACAGCACGAAAAGGCTGCTCTGAAAATACTGAATGATGATGCAGTCGTTGGGCAAGATCGTTTCTACTGGAGGCAGAAGTGTTTACTCCCAAGCTAAAGCCTATTTGTCTAAATAAATATATTCTGGCATCTTAAAATTGAGTGTCATAAATAGGAAGTAGTGGCAGAAGGGGAGATGAGACCCAGAGAAGAAGCTGCACAAGCACATGGCCAGATAGGAAGTAAGAAATTAACAGGAGGGAAGGCTGTGTACACAGGGGCTCACGCTGGACACCATGCCCTCTGTCTCCTCGCTCGGGATTTGCGCGCTTCTTAATCTTTGCTGGGAAGATTAATGGTGTGTGCAAATGTTTAACACAGCATGAGATTTGGTGGAGGGGATGTGTATATGACCAATACAAATTTCTGTTTAGGCTTCATCTGAATTCATTATTCAAATAACAAATCCAACTTTTTATCTCCAGAATCTAAATGGAAGATGTATAAACAAGTGTGTCATGTGGCCCGTAATTTGAGACTGCATAAGTCATCAGCTTTTTCATATGGGGTAGGCAAAAATAGGTTTACAGTTGTGAGTGTATGAAACAGTTTATTCATGTTATCATCATTTATTAATTATTTTATTATTTTCCATATGAACAACTGTACATCTATTTTCTCCCACCCCTGTATTTATAGACAGCATCACATAGAAGGATGAGGGGGAAAACTTGGTTCAGACCAATGATCAAAACTTGGATCATTGGTTCAGAGTAAGGTTCCGGGTCTATTCTATGAGGAACACCTTCAGCAGAATTTCATTAGTAGTAAACCAGGAGTGCTCCAAGAGAATAACAGTAATGTAAAACTCAAGCTAAACATTTTATTCAAGGCTTAAAGTCCTGTCCAAGGGTCACTAATACCTATACTTCTGAGTGGGCCAGAAGCTACCTTCCAATCTGATTTCTGCTTGAATTCCAATGATCTGAATTCTAAAAGGAGCATAGCCAAGAGATAGTTTTGAGTTCATGAATTTCATCTTTTCACTTCTGTGGCAAATCATGCCTTCCCAATATGAAAATGTGTGACTAATTACACGACAATATGGGAATTTTTGTTCCTAATCAATGGCTACTACATTCCGTTAGAAAACATTATAATTACTTGATATACTGGGGATGGTGGGAAGTGAATGACATTTGGACATTCGGAGACCAACACTTTAATTAAAGTTGATACTTATCTTGGGAGTGGAAGCAAAAAAGCTTGTGTTGATGCTGGAAAAGATACTTTAATAACTAGCACGGGTGTTGCAGGTTTCTCACTGTCTAAGAAAGGTATAACAAATAAGGGAGAGGACTAGAATGAACCTCAAGGTGTTGGATTGGAATTAGAAACGTTATTATTAGCATAATGTTATATACATATATCTGCACACATATGCACACACACACACTATATATATATATATATATATATATATATATATATATATATATGTATAAACAGAGAGGTAAACACAGAAATAGATATCGGTGTATGTAGGGATAACACACATGAATTTACTGGGTGTGTCTGCTGAGAGGCTTAGAAGCAATAATACCACAGAACCAGTGAGCTAATGAGTCCTCAGTAACTTTAAATACTACTGTTTTCCAATAAAAAGAACTGGGGTTTCCTGGAGAAATGGCGGATTTCAGGACTGTGGGACAAGCACAGTGAAGATGTACCTGAGATATTTTTGGTGCCAGAGAGCAAGGAACCCTCACAAAAGTGTGGTGGTGACATGTCAGAAAGACACAGGAGCCTATTCATAGGAGCTCCAAAATCTAAGACAATTTGAGTGACAAAGTGAGTATTGTACCCTGACTGGTGTGACCCAGTGGATTGAATGGAAGATCACAGGTTCAATTCCCTGTCAGGGCACATGTTTGGGTTGCAGGCCAGGTCCCCAGATGGGAGCGTGCAAGAGGCAGCCAATGGGTGTTCTCACACATCGGTGTTTCCTCTCCCTCTCTTTCTATGCCCCTTCTCCTTTCTCTAAAAATAAATAAATAGAATCTTTAAAAAAAGAATATTGTAATAGATTTAATCCATAGAATAAAATAACAATCCAAGAGAATTGAGTAAACAAATGAGTAAATAAATAAGCAAGAAGACAAAGTTATTCCTAACAGTAGAATTAGAGCTAATAAACATAGATGGAATGATGAAAAGAGGAAATCACCATTCAACACCACAGTAATCATTGTTTTCGGGAAGAATTGATGAGTGATAAAATTAATGGGAAGAAGTATGGTGAAAAACAGAGTGTTTACATATTTTACTTACTAAGTACAAAGGGGAAAAGTAACTTCTTCCGTAGAGAACCCTGGCAGATACGACTTTAAGCAAGTGTGTCTCCCATGCTGAAAAGGACACATCCCTTGTGCCTCACTTCTGTCAGAAGTGCATGACTTGAATTTAGTGATAAGGAAGCACCAAACAGACCCAGAATAAGGGGTATTCTCTGGCCAGCACTCTCCAAGAATATCAAGTTCATGAAAGTAAGGAGACTGAGGAAATGTTCCAGATTAAAGGAGACAGGGAGACATGCCCGTGAAATTCAGCTGCTCACCTGGATCAGGAATAGGACACTGAGACCACTGATGTCATTTGAATAAGACTGATCCAGGGATCCAGGATGTTAGCATTTGAGGAATATGAGTGAAGGGTATAGGGATTTTTACTATTGTGATATTTTTGTAAATAAAAGTATTTAAAAATATTAAGTTAGGTATTTTAAAAATCACAGGTTTTTCTGTGTGTTACTGTGTATTTGATGACAGCTTATAAATCTGTTATACAAATGTGATAGCTAGTGATTCTTTAGGATAGTCTGAATAGACAGTCACACCTACAACATTGTTTCAGGTTAATTTACATGCGACAACTAGAAATAATAATTTGTACTAATAAAATAATATAGGAGAGAGACATGAGAACTATACAAATGAAGTCACACTAAGTTAGGGGCCTTCTTTGTGCTGTCTGACAAGGAATTGGCTGACCCAAGATGCAGGGAGGCCGCAAAGAGCCTCCAGACAAAATTCCTGCAAAACTTAACCATAAGTAATTCATATCACTCACCCATACCTTATTGTTTACCCATACCATAAAAGAAAACCACAAGGCCACAAAGTGTACCTCGTAAAGGTTAAAGTTAATCCCAGCCTTTTCCACTCTCTCTTTACCCATAGCAACTCTTTTCCATAGAAACTACAAACAGCCCTAGCTGGTGTGGCTCAGTGGGCTGAGCACTGGCCTGAGAACCAAAGGGTCACCGGTTCGATTCCCAGTGTAGGGCACATGCTTGGATGGCGGGCCAAGTCCCCAGCAGGGGGCGCACGAAATGCAGCTACACATTGATGTTTTTCTCCCCCTCTTCTCTCCAAAAATAAATAAATAAAATCTAAAAAAAAATACCGATGTAAGCTCAACTCTAGATATGGTTGGAATCTCTTCCTTCTCTCATGAGGTGGATCTGCTACTCTGTCTATCGAGTGGCTTTTCCTGCTTGTCTTCTCTGCTCAATAAAACCTGATGTTCCACTTGAACCTCTTGTCTATCTGGCTCGTGCCTTGAATTCCTTCCCGTGCACAGCCAGGAAACGCTTTGCCATCACTCAGAGACGGGGGAGCAACACGATGGGTTTATCCTATTTTAATGTGGTGTGAGCCCTTTGACATTTTTCTTCATAATGTGTCCTGAATTCTTGAATTAGATGTTCAAAGGCAGGGATAATTTTCATTTCAGTGCTTTCATTTATGTGAGTGGCAACCCAGAGCAGGGTAAAGATTTATTTGCAACCATCAAAATAGTTCCTTGAACTTCAGTGACAGCAAATTTAAAGTAAGAACATCAAAAAGCATGATCCTTTGCATAAAAAAAAGAAAGAGAGGGAGAGTTCCGTAGCCACATTACCGAATAGCATTGAACTCTCAGCCAACACTTAACGGAGAAGAACATGATAGCTGGCCTATTTACCATGTCCCCTCTGAAGAATTTTCCTAGTTCCCATTAATATTCTTAACGCTTTCTTCTAAGAATTAATCCTGTTCTTTACTTCTGCGTTACAGGATAACATCAACATAGATGAAGCAGCCCGGTTTCTGGTGGAGAACATTCTTACGAACCACCAAAGCTTTCCTAATGAAGAAAACGATGTAGACAAAATTAAACTGGAGCAGGAGGCCTTGCCAGCGGAGAGCAAGTCCCAGTGCTGCTGATGCGGCCTCAGCTCCTCTCCTTGCTCACGCGGGCGAGGGGCGGCCTGACTGAATTTCTCCATTTGGAGCAAATTCCTGAGAATGGATTAAGGTGGTGGATGTGCTGCTCTGTGAATCTTCCCAGGGCTGTGCTTTAAAACGACCACGATGGCACCCGGGGAGCCTAAGCTGAAATGGGGTGTCGCTGTGATAGTCCTGACGGTGGCCGTGCACCTTGGAGCGAACACGTAGGCTTCTGTCGTTGTTGCCGTCGTATATTCAGGATAATGTTTACATCCTTCTTAATGTCTTCTCAAATGACAGTGCTCAGGATTTTGTAAGAGTTCCAAATTGTATCTCTTGTTGTAAGCACTGGGGTGGTAATAAAATTGTGCCTACCATCTTACAGTTATTGGTTGAGTCTGTATTTTTGTGTTTCAGCTTCCCTTTCAAGGGAAGCATTTAGACTGTCAGCCACTGAAGGCTTGAAGTTTCTCTTCAGCACTTTTTGTTTTTTCTCAAAATTTCCCTCCACTTGGAGCTAGTCTTTTCAAATTTCTAATAGTCATGGTCAAGGAGAGGATTTATTTCAAAGCACATGCAATTAGATCTGAGATTCTTTAGTATGAATTGTGAAAGAAACTAGGTCATGTGTGGTTTTATATAAAGTTTTGGGCATTTAAAGTATAATACATGAGAAACGTAAGTCTGGCTCACAATATTTGTATTACCGTTCAACCCAATTAAGAACAGAGTAAATATTTTGACTGAAATCTTTGTTTTGAGTTAATAGTTCTACAAAGAAAATATGGAGTATACTTTTATGCCTTAGAAAACTTTGTGTCTATTCACTTTTGCTTTTATTGTTTAGGAATTTAATGATATTATGTGAAAGGTCCAATGTATCTCTTTCAAAGGAATATTTAAAGATGTTTGTGACATAATCCAAAGCTAATATGAAATGAGGCATTGACCAAATTGTCTTACATGTTGCTATGACTTGGATGGGAAAGATCCATGCATTTATTAATAGCTGAGATACAACAAACAAACAAAAAAAACCTAGCATCGAATTGCATTTGCTCTGACAGCTGTGTGGGAATAAAGTGTAGCCATGGTCCACAAAAGGTAGCTCACGCTTCTCATTAAAACTAAGCTTTACCTAGGAATCACAGATATATTTATATGTCATATATTGACCTTTTTAACATGTATTCTACATAGAATCAGATTTTTCTGAGGTTAAAGAACAGAAAGAAGACCCTGATTTAAGTATCACTTGTCATTTAAATAACAAAACACCTTTAAAAAATTGCATGAAATCTTTCTAAGAAATATGTGTCATATTCTAAAATATTTTTTAGTCTCAGTACAAAGCACAATGATTTAACCCTTTTTTTTATTTCTGAAGTCCAGTAGTGTAAGTAATATGAAATGTTGGTGCCAAATCAAAACTGTTACAAATACAAAGCTTATTTGAAGTAGTCACTGAAAGAGAATAAAGTCTGCTTGGAATTTGTATATAGATAGTGGTTGTTTACATTGACTTAGCAGTGAACTGAAAATCAGAAGTACTGCACCTTCTTTGCCCTTCTTTACCACATTAGTTATTGTCTCTTTAAGGATAATTTTAATTACTGACAGTACCTTAAACGATTGTTTTTGTGCAAACACTCAGGGTTCTGCATGTCAGTGTTAGTTTATTCTATGTATAATCCCTTATACTCTGGAAGTAAAACTGAGTAATTCTTTGCTTTACTCCTAAATTCTCACTAGAATTTGTTTCTGTAATTTGAACATAAAGTTTGAATTTAGGGAAAGCAGCACAAATGGCTAAAGGAAAGAAGAAAATACTTTGTGTTTTTCACTTAATGAAAATCCTTGAATCTCATCTCCTACTTATTTAATACCCTTCTGGGGGTGAGGGTCAGACATCTGCTGTAGAAAGCCTGGTGATGTGCATTTTGAAATCTCCCTATAGTAAGTAGCAACCGTTAAAGTGTTGTTCAATTTGTACTCTGTGGTATCACTCAAAATATGAACATTCTTAAAATATAGCAGTTTATTGTCATTTATAAATTAGTATTATTAAAAAGTCTGAACACTTTTAACAATGTACAGGCAGGATAAACGTGTTTTCATCCAATGAAGAAAACGGAGGCTTAAGAGCTCTCACAGCCTAGACTAATCTAAAGTCGAGTTGCTATCGGAGAAAAGTGGCTCAGATCTCTCTTGCTCTGTACCACAGAATGATACAATCTAGAAATTAACGCCTTAAAAGTAAAAACAAGAACTAAAACTACAAAAACTTTGGTACTGCCAAAAATAGGACAACAGTCCCAAAATGGAGTCACTTATGTTAAGCCCCGTGTCACCAAAACCAAAATTTAATTGCCGTTTTGGCCTCTCCAAGAAATGGAATCTTCAACCAGTTGATCAGGAACCACCTAGTTAGGTTATCTTCCTGGTTGGCTCTTGCCACGTCTTGAAGGACAGTAACCTTACCACAGCCAGTACACTTTCGGCTAGTATAACTACTTGGTTGGCTCCCTCTGCCTTTAAAAGTATTTCCTTTTCTACAGTATCTCAGAACTCCTTTGTGTCTGTTAGATGGGTTGCTACTGGATTCATGTAGCACTGGATAAAGCCAATTAGATTTTTTTTTAATATACCTAGTTGAATTTTGATTTTTAATAGCATGAAGAGAAAAATAATTGACATTGGACTAAGAAAATTCTTTTTACACCTTCAAATGCTTAAAGCCAAACAGGGACAAATAGATACATTTGGGTACATGAATGTATCCTGTATAGCAAGACAATATAAGCAAAATCATTGCAAATAACAGGCAAAAAAAATTTGCAACCGATTTCATTTAGTGACAGTTAATAAGCAGGATAATAAAAGTATAAGACAATGAGTACAAATGGGCAAAGAATGGAAAGCTAGCATTTTCCAAAGAGGCAATTCATGTGTCAAATCTTAGTAACCAGTAAGCATTAAAAAATAAAGCAAGGTGTTAGCAAATTCACAAAGGAATGTATGACTTTAGTTGTATTTCTGAAGTTGGTGAACATATCAGAAAATAAGTATCTGTAATCTGCTGTTAGACTGTATTTGTTTCGATAGCTCCCTCCAACTTTCCCTCCCATATTGCTGTTCACTTTCCACTCCTAGTCTGTGTCTTGCAGAGAAGTGGAATTGCTATTTTTGGGGAAACATCATCGAAAACAAAATCTCCTCCTAACTCAGACAACTTCTCCACAAAGATAGAAGAGAGAGGAAGCAGTGGTATTGCTGAACAAGCATGAAACCGGAATGCATTACAGGCAATCCTCTAAGAGGCTGTAGAGGTCCTTCTGTAGTCCAGCGGATACAATGCATCCCATGCCTGTTCTCAAGGAAAACGATAATCCTCAGGTAAGGGGACTTGGTCAGCAGCATTTGTCACACACGGTGCATCCTAAATTCACTTGATAATTGGAGTGGTCAACCACCTGTGGTAGTTAATTGGCTTTATCCAAAGGAAAAAGAAACTTCTCTCTTTAGGGCATGAAGTAGTGTAACAAGTTGGTGGGAAGCTCCCCACGCAAGGTGGGCTCCTCCCCTTCCACAGACACTGGGAAGTAAGGACCTCATCTCCCTTAATCATTGCATTTCTAGAAGATTGCTGCCAGGTCCTTGAGAAAGCTGTCAGAGGCTTATATCAAAGAAAGGAAGAACTGACAGGTTTCAAATTAAATACTCTCAGAAAATGTGGGGAGGAGGTAAGCGTGAGTCTCTTCCCTTATTTTCAACAGTGAGAATTAAGTCCCTTATTTTCAATTTGCATTTGCCCTATCAACCCAGGAGAGTGAACAATGGAACTCTAACAATCGGTATGCTCAGAATATGTTAAACTAAAGTGATTTATAGTTTGAAAATAACAGGATGGGCGGAGACATATTAGGGCAATGCAAACAAACCCAAAAAGGCACAGATTTCAAACAAGGTAGATACCAGGCAAAAACCACCAAATGTGAAACAAGAAAGCATCTTATTACAAAAAAAAAAAAAAAAAAAAATCCACAATGAGAACTGAACAGTTATAAATACTGTTACTCAAATAATCAACAGTCATAAATTCTGGGAAGTATTAGGGAAAAACTGTAGTATAAGACTTCAGTTGAACCTTTCTCAATCACATTTGAAATAATATAAGGTAGATCCTCTGCAAGCACACGCACACTTCCTCACCAAAATATTTACCTTATTTTCCAGTAAGCATGGAAAAATCAATCACAAAAGTCACCCTGGACAGCCGTAAAGAAACCTCAAATTTCTAAAGAAATTGAGTTAACAACATTCATCACAAAGCCATAAGATCAGAAAGCAATAGAAGGCACACTATCAAACCAACTAAATAAAAAACTAACTTGGACACACATCTCAGGTCAAGGAACAAAACTGAACCTTAAATTACAGAGTATGTGGAAAATAACTGCCACAAAGATACCACATATAGAAATCTCTGAGCTGCAGATAGGAACATCAGAATCAAAAGCTTACCTAAAAATGATTAAAAAATAAAAGTGAGTGGAATGAAACTTCGCTGCAAGAATTTAGAAGACCAGTGAAGGAAAAATAATGTTAACAGCAGAAGTTAGTTTACTAGAAAACATAATAATTATTGTAAAATATTTTCAGAGGGATAAAATAGATAAACCTGAAAATTGTGGTAAAAAAAAGTTCCATTTACATGAGAAAGTAAAAAAATCCTAATTGAAAATTTTGCTCAACACTGTGTATATGAATTCAAAAGGAAACATAAATTTCTTAAACTGAGCAAGGGAGAAAAATAATCCAATTTTTATACTTGAGAAATAAGTGGTAATCCTCTAAACTTTACATAGCCCAGTCCTGCTTGCAACCACATAACAAAAAAAATACACAAAATTCAGATTATATCACAGGAATTCATCTCCCCAATGCCATTTAAACTGTTCCAAAGTATAGAGCAAACAAAGCTCTCCATTTTAAGGGAAGTTAGCTTTGAAGTGGAACAAATACCTTGCAGCTTGCTGGAAGTTGAGCAGCTAACACCTGACATGCCAACCCGTTCCTGGGCAGTCTCTGTCATAGTGTAACTAGAGGGTGACCTAAGAAGAACTGAAAGTTCAGCTGTTTTGGCAACACAAAGAGAGTGTGTCCCAAGGGCTCTAAAGAATGCTGACCTCCCGCACACCCAGACTTCAGTGACTGTGTTGGAGCCAGAGGGAGGGAGGGGACTTTCTGCAAATGGGGTGGAGGGGGCAGAGAAGCAAACTCTGAGCGCCATGGCCTCTGACCTGCTGGTCTTATATTAGGGTTTCAGGCACACTGTCAAGAACGAGTCAACACACTGTTGTGA